GTTCTTCGACCAGGTGGTTTTTTAAATTGAATATTTTTGGTCAATCCATTCGAAAAATTTTGATTATTGGTTGGACTAGGGACATCACTGATTATAAGTTTCGGATTCTCTTCATCAACATCATCATCATCATCTGAATCGATTTGTCCGTTTGTATGAATTAAAGGTGAATTATGGTAGGAAAATTTAGTTTGACGACAAGCACGACATTTCGGAACTTGTTTCAATCCTGGATCATTACAATTTATAAGTTGAACAAAAACACGTTGACTTCGCTTATAAAAATTTAATGAATGTGAAGAGTGTAGTGATTTATTGGCTGTTCGATTCACTTTGAGGAAAAAAGAAACAATATCAATAAATTAGTCATAAATGCTATTGCATAAATTTGTTATACCTTTAAGGAAGAAACTGAAAGAAAGAAAGAAATAAACGGTGAAAACGAATAACAGCTACAATTATGACATACTATTCACTTCAAAATCAGTTAATAAGGTTGCGTATCTTCATTCACCGAGGTGGTTGGGACATTTGCTACGTATGCCAAAATATCGTCTACCTCAACAGGCACCGTGAGCTGGTGTAATAGTAAGTTGAAAGAAATCTAGTAGAGGTCTTACCAAGACGTGACAACACTTCACGAACTGACTGTTGATCTGAGCCATGTTGATGTAGATACGAACGGAGTGGTCGAGATCAAAGTGAATATTGTGACCTATGGTTGGAAATGTGGATGACATGGATCAGAATGGCAGTGACGTAGATTCATTCATTCTTAATTTCACTCTACATCTTCAATCCAAGTATTCCTTCATACATACTTGTCCACTCCGTCTTTTCGAATCATATTATTTGTTTTATTCTTCTTGTTATCACTAGTTACTACACTATTTCGACCTCTTTCGCTATTGATTTTATTAATTTCATCTTATTGTGTTAATATATAGTTAGTGACTCGAAATAACTCACATTTCCACCAGACTATACAATAATCATAATTATCCAATAAAAAATGAATCGACAGAAATACTTATAAGAGGACCCATAACCTGTGAAATACTGAGTTAAGAAACTGGCACAATAACTGAGAGATAACACTAGCTCAAAGTCACAAAAAACTCATGAACCGTTTCAAGTCGAAAATGTAAGCTGTAAAATTTGAAAGATGTAAGAGTTCTAGGTTCTATTCCACGTAAAATAATATATGATCGATGTTACTGAATTTCAGGATACGATTAAGGAACTATTTATTTATTTATGGTTGTCAACTCTCCTTGATTTGACATCGGTCACTTTGCTAATTATTAGTGAAGTATAGGGAAAATATATTAAGCTCATAATCTATAATTGCCATTTTGACGGATTAAAAATATTATCCCTACTGTTTAAATTCAAAAGTATAAAATAGAACTAAATTTCAAGAAATTACAGAAAAGAAAAATAAAAATTTTAAATTATTTACAAACAGAACAGTTCCTTGATGACTGCCAAACTTTTCTATATTATGTCTACGCCTCTAAAGTCATTGCCCATCTACATCGATTTTAAAACCTCTCATAGTATAAGTATGACTCAGAAACGAGTTCACAGATTCGTACATGCATTTAACGGGTTCAAATAGTTTAAGCTAATCTACATTGTAGCTGCTTAAGATGTAGTTATCGGGCTTATACATCGTGATGACTTAATTGAGCAAGCTGCATTAGCTACCGAACTTGTTAAGTGTCACACCAAGCGGGTTAGATGGAGAGCAGTAAAGCTGACAGCAGAAACTTAAGGTCCTAGGCTGAAGTCGTACTCCTGACTGTACTGAAGCTTAACGAAAATGTGGCATTTCCCCCATACAACCCACATGTGTAGTGATACTTCTTTCCCACAACGGAAGAAAGAGATTAACATAATTGACAGTAATAATTCATTGAATATGTGGATATGAGCCAAATTCCAAGTGTTGGCGCTAAAGATACTACCCAGTTGCCAAAGCCGTAATAGGTGAAGCGGAGTTCTTACCCTGGACCTAGCGGTTGAAGGTCTAACACTTTAACCACTAAGCCTCCATTCCACAGCCCAATAGATTCCCATCACCAACCATAAGTTAATAAAAATACGAAGGAATCAGACCAAACACTACTCACAAAAAACTGCATGTAACTTGTCTCAAGTAATTATCTCTTAGACGCTGCATTCAAACGCCAAGGTTGACAAGACCACTACCAACTCGGTTTCCTTTTTAAGTCGCTTAAGAAAAAGTATCATTCCACAGTGTAAGCAGTCACGAAGTGACAGCTTTCTACATATCTCTGTTTAAAACGAATGAAATAAATCATGAAACATTAGTTTAAAATAGTACAATAAAAAACAACGTAGATAGATAAATGTCATATACTTTAGTGATTTACAATCACTTACAATCAGGTGGCCCAGGAAGTTGTTCAACCAGTTCTTCAACTTGCAAATTTTCTTCAGCTAAAGCAGCTGACAATTCATCTGGCGTAGAATTTTCATACATCAATGTACAACCATCTTGATCTAATAAATCTGTCTTAAATTTCATACATACTGTTGAATCATTACCGTCCTCTTTATGAATGGTAGTTCTTGACTTGCCGTTATCACCACGTCGGTGTTGTTTCGATGACGTTTTTATTGGTTTTCCTGTCGTTGTCATTATCGTTGTCTTCGTGGTTGTTAACGATGATGCAGATGACAGACGAGGCTTTTTTGCTGTTATAATTGTCGGTCCAGTTGTACTACCAGGTGATACAGTTAAAGTAGCTGTTCTTTTCGGTTTTCTTAAATTATCACCATTACCAACACCATAGACACTCTGTGCACTATCCATGGATGAATGTGTAATACCAGGTGATCCATCACTTGAATTTAATGATTGGCTATTATTATTAGTGATGGTATTAGAATTTATTGTTAAATATTTTAAAGTAGATTTATATGATTGTAGTCTTGAATAAGATAAGTGACGATCAGTGGAACATTTTGAACGCGTAGTATTAACAGATGAGTTTGATGAAGAATTCAAACATACATCATTATCATCATCACTGACTTCACCGTCAACACTTTGTAAACTAGAAGAACTACTACTATTACTGTTATTACTACCTGAACTAGTGCTTCTTTGAGCGTGTGCCGTAACCATCATCATAAGATTACCATTAACAGCAGCTATACGTTTTTTTACATTACCTCTAATTAAATCACTACATAATGAAGTATGTGATAAACTTGATGTACTATTTGCACTTGAGCTATGCTTCCTTGAACGTCGTCTTCTAATTGTCGGTTTAATTCTTTCATCACCAACCTCATTATCATCATCATTGTTCTCCTCTTGCTCTTCTCTTACTTCTTCATCATTATTATCATTAACAATGACATCATCATCTTCATCGTCATTAGTGATATCATCGAATTCTAATTTCATCGTTGACAACTGTTCATTCATACTCAATTTCGATTCTACGTCATCATTCAATGAATGTTTTAATCGACGTGTACTTTTTGAATTAGATTTTCTTAAAGAACTTAATGAAGATTTTGTACGGATTTTAGTTGGCTTATTTTTATTTGTGTTTAGGCTTAATATTCCATCTGTTTCATATTTAGTACGTTTTTTTCGTTTAACTTTTCTCTCTTGACAATCTAATTTTTCTATCTAAATAATAAGAAAACAAAACCAATCATAATAAATATAAATAAAATGACTTATGAAGGAAAATAAGTAAACTTAATGTCATAAGCACAAAACAAACAAAGAGATGAAGTTGAAAAGAAAAATCTATCTAGACTATACAAGATAATAAAGTAACGTCGATCGTCACGTTCTAATAATCACAAATATTTATATCAATACAAAAAGACTTATACATTTGAAAGCAATTTGCAGACAGTTTTGAATGTAGATTTCCTTCTAGCTGCACTCATAAGAAACGCTACATTATTTCTTGAGATGACTAATGATTCTCGCGAGATTCAAATCTGTCCAGCCCAGTTTTACATGAAGATATCTTTTCCCTGAGTTATTAATGTAACGACTGACTTTTGAACAGTTACCCTATGACCAAGAATAGCGAATCCAATTATAATTCACACAGACTGTTGACCACATCGCAACGATCAACAGCCTTAAAGAACTAGACAAGTAAGACGTTGCTTACTACTAAGTCGATCAATCACTGTAAAATCTTATCAATTATTCTGGCGAAGTACTACAAATTCGATCTCCATCTGTCGCTTCGAAAAGCTTGTTTTACGTGCGCTTATCCGGGGACCCTGTGGCATCTTCGTCTGGTTTTGCTGGCGTTGGTGTCGCATTAAGCGCTAGAGCTGAGGCAGCACTAGTCGATTGGATCCCCATTAACAGTCGGTTATGTGCTGTTAGATTAGAAAGTTCCATCAAAGTGAGAAGAAATCGGCGTGAGAAACGATGTCTTTTCGTCATCTCCGCCTATGCCCCGACAGATTGCAGCCCGGATGCAATCAAGGATGAGTTTTACCACCAGTTATCAGTTCTTCTCCAGAAAGTGCGTTCGACAGATATTGTAGTACTAGCCGGAGACTTGAATGCTCAGGTCGGGCGTCTAGGCACAGAAGAGAGTCGTTTAGGTGGCCGATGGGGACTCGTTGGTCGCAGGTCAGATAACGGGGACCGTCTACTGCAACTTTGCGCTGACCACAACCTGTTTCTGGCTAGCACTAACTTTCGGCACAGTCATCGCCGATGTGCCACCTGGCGTCCTCCCTCTGCATCTCAAGCCTGGACTCAGATTGATCACATCGCGATCAGCTACCGCTGGCGTGGTTGTGTACAAGACTGCCGCTCCTTTTGGAGTACCTATCTGGACTCTGACCATGCCTTGGTCTGCGCCAATCTTGCCTTACTTTTCAGTGGACAACGAAGTGAACGCCATCAACGGATTGATGTTAGCAAGCTGGTTGCAACTTCTGTTGCAAGTAAGTATCGAACCGAGCTAGCCTCTAGGCTAGCTACCACTCCACCGAAAAGTATAGATGAGCATTGGTTGCAATTGCATGACGCCATGAAAATGGCGGGAACAGTCAGTTGTGGGTTTGCGAAACGTCCCGCTTTTAAGCACTGGGTTTCTTCTGGTTCCTTACAACTCATTGAAGCCCGTCGGTCTACTCCGGGTAACCGTGAGTTTGACTATAAACGAAGGTTTTTACGTAAGGAAATCGGGCAAAGCTTGCGTAAGGACCGAGAAGCCTGGTGGTCGATGCGTGCTAATGAGCTGGAAGCAGCAGCTGCATCTGGTAACTACCGGAAGCTCTTCCAACTCATCCGAGCCACTGGCAGCAAGACGTCTGGTGTGAGTGAAACAATCTGCGAGGATGATGGGATGCCAATCACTAACATCCATCGACGTCTTGGACGATGGGCAGAATTTTTCGAAGGGCAGTTCAACTGGCCTGCTGCTCCGGCAACATCGGTCAGACTGTCCTGCCCTCCATGGCCGGTGACGACTGATCCACCAAATGAGGAGGAAGTCCGCAAGGAACTCCAACTCTTGAAGCGTTACAAATCACCTGGCCCAGATGACTTACCTCCGGCTCTTTTTAAAGATGGTGGTGACTTTTTGACTAAGGAATTGACGACGTTGTTTACAAAGGTTTGGGATCTAGAGAGTGTACCAACGTCATGGAATGAGTCGATAGTTGTCCCTATCTTTAAAAAGGGTTCACGTCGTTCTTGTAACAACTATCGGGGGATAAGTTTACTTCCGATTGCGTCCAAGCTATTGGCTTCCGTCATTCTTCGTAGGTTGTTCAAAACCCGAGAAAGATTGACTCGCGAGGAGCAGGCTGGGTTTCGTTCTGGTCGAGGATGTATTGATCATATCTTCACCCTCCGCCAAATGTTAGAACACCGCCATACTTTTCAAAGGCCAACAATCGTAGTGTTTCTTGACATCAGGGCTGCCTTCGATTCGTTGGATAGGACTGTTCTCTGGGATTGTCTATTGAAGAAGGGTGTGCCTGAGAAGTTTATTAACATCCTAAAAGCCCTGTATAAAAACACCTCAGGCAGAGTGAGGGCATACAACCACCTCTCTCCATTGTTCCATTCGAGCAGTGGGGTTAGGCAGGGTTGCCCAATCTCACCATTCCTCTTCAACTTTGCCATCGATGACATTCTGGAAACAGCTCTGATGAATGTAAGTAATGGTGGTGTGGATCTGTTGCCTGGAGAAAGACTTCTCGACCTTGAGTATGCGGACGATATTGTCTTACTGTGCGATAATGCCCAAGGCATGCAATCCGCACTTAATCAGTTGGCAATCAATGTCCGTAGGTATGGTATGTGCTTTGCACCTTCGAAGTGCAAAGTACTTCTACAAGACTGGCAGGATTCTAATCCTGTACTCACCCTGGATGGTGAGCAGATAGACGTAGTTGAGAAGTTCGTGTATCTGGGTAGCATCATAAGTGCTGGTGGGGGTGTGAGTGATGAGATCAATGCACGAATAGTGAAAGCCAGAGCGGCTTATGCCAATCTGGGCCACCTTTGGCGCCTTCGTGATGTTAGTCTGGCTGTAAAAGGCCGGATCTACAACGCGTCGGTGAGAGCAGTTTTGCTCTATGCCTCTCCGAGTTGAGGACGTTAGACGACTCTCTGTGTTCGATCATCGCTGTCTCCGAAGGATTGCTGACATTCAGTGGCAACACCATGTCAGTAATGCAGAGGTTCGGCATCGTGTGTTCGGGCACAGAGATGATAACTCAATTGGTGTCACCATCTTGAAACACCGACTTCGGTGGCTTGGACATGTTCTCCGAATGTCGTCCCAGAGAATTCCACCTTCGTGCATTATTTGCCGACTCTGGGACTGGTTGGAAGAAGCGGAGAGGTGGTCAGTGCATGACATGGTGTCGTGGCATGAAAGAAAGCTGCAAAGGACTGGCTTGTGTTGGTCCTTCACGACTCCCTGGTTGGGGTCCGAGAGATGGTGCAACACAGTGGCTAGAGACGTTATCAGATATGGCTCAGAATAGAAGCCAGTGGCGATCCTGCTGTAACCTTCTTTTACTTTCTTCATAAAAAGTGGTTGTGTCTCCTTTACCTGAAAGATTTCTTCTGATTGTACCTCTTCGTCATTACTCTCTTTTTCTTTTGCGTTCCTTAGTTTTTTTTTTCTTTCTACTTCTCTTCGAATTCCCATTGTTTTGTGTGGCGCATATATATTGGCGCTCTCTTGTACCAATATTTATGTGTTCAAATAAATAAATAAATAAATAATTATATTTTAAATAAGAAACAATGCAACGTTAAGGATACAAGTAATATAAGTTGAATATGTTATAAGAACCAATAATCCAATGATTGAGAAGTAATTAAGTGAGAGAATAAAAATTAAATATCTCCTTAAGCAATGACAGTATGGGAAAATCATTTCAACAAATACTATTAAAGCGCTAACGTGACTAACAGTACATATATTTTCTTCTTTAAATTAACTGAACTATTTTGGAAGCGACACTGTTTCCAGTCCCTAGATAGTTAACTTACTAAATTATTTAGCCCCAGTGTAATATCTGGCCTGGTTATGCTTAAACGAAGCGCCTTTTACAAGATTGCCATTTTCTCGATGTAAATAAAAAGTTTAGTTAGAATGCTGGGAAGGCTTAATACTGGAGAGAGTTATATCCTGGAGACGTGTAACAGATCTCAGTGTAATAATGCTAACAAAATTTACAACAGTCTACATAAATTTATCTTAAAGTGAGTTATCTAACAGAGTTTAATGTGTTCTATTCTTCCTTCCCTAGAGCCAGTTTACGCAAAGAGAATCGGACTTTCTACTAGTCACTGGTAACCCCAAGTTATGATCATGAGTGTTCATTCTGGCTGGAAGACAAAGAGAAAAGTAACGTAAAAACCGTGGTTTTTCTCTGTTTACGTCTCTTCTCAAGACCAGTAAAGAATGAACTCAAAATATATCTTGATGCTGCTCAGTGATCTCAATGAGTCATTAAAGTTGAAATATAGATGACTGTTCAGATGACTAATGGTGTTCATTTTATGTAACTTTAGACAGGTTACAATATATATATTTGACTTGTTATCAAACCATTACTAATGTTCAGAGTCATCTCCAAATTATTTCATTCCAAGAAATCAATATAAACGTGGGTGTATACAAGACCATCATTTTTTTAAAGTGTCTAAATTTGGACCGCGCTCACTCCCGATAAAATTATTTTATTTTACATTAATTAACACATATGTAGGTAATATGTATGATGTGTTGACACCAACTAGGATAACAGTGAAAACCAGAGAGAACTGGGTGGCGTATCGATAAACTGACCAATGAGAGAACCCAGGCACTTTATGTTTCACGGAATCTAACGATTCACACTCTCAACTTCAATCTAATAAGTAAGAATTAATTAGCACACTGCTGTAGATTTAAAATTGGTTGATAATTTATTAAAATGTATGATTTAATATGGAATACGCTTGAAATAAGTCAAAAATATATGAGAACTTTCACCTTCTAGGAACGACTGTCAAGTAAGAGTTACGTTTGTACGAGTTTTTTAGACTTCCTTCATGTGTATCCATCTACTTCTATAAATGGCTAGTGTAATCAAACCTACATATCTCTTAGGTAGAGATTCTCAGCATATCTAGACCCACTAAAGCCAACGGCTGTAAAACTCTGCTAAGATGACAACAACAGCTACCTCTGAAAATATTCAGGAACTGTTTCAATTCTTGGTGATTTGTTTTCTGAATAAAATGGATGAACTGCAGAGCTTTCATTGTCATTCTAGATGACATTATCAATGCCTACTATAAAAACACAACCAAAACAGCGAAACCCCTGATATCAGTGGGCGATCTATGAATTATGTGCAAAAAGGTTATCCGACTAGCCTAGTATACTAGAAACCTTATCTATAATTTGTTGTGTTTCTTGATCAGGTGATGCCAACCCATCTTATAAAGCAAACATTCTACGTAACTTCACTGGTTCATAACTTAATATATCAACATCTGTCTGAATCCTCAAGTAGTGTATTGCATGTTCAACCCGTCCCATTGATAAGTAGTAAACCGTGTGAGATAATGTGTCTGTGTATATGAGATAACCATAGATAGTATATTTTAATACAATATAAATATATTACTACTAACGCGAAACGGAATAATAGATAAAAGCTTACATTATCTTTCATTGCGATCCGGCTTTCAGGCGAATATTGATTGTTTTTTAAATCATCTGCATTAGTTGATCTATTATGAGGTTGAGAATTATCCATAGGTAGTTCAGTCTTAACAAGATTACATGTTGATAACTCCGATGGTTTCATATCTACACGATCAGCTTCATAACGTTGAATAAGTCGTTTTTTCAGTGGCATTGAAGTGTTTTGCGATCGATGATCTGATATATTAGTAACAACAGAAAACTTTGTTCGTGTATACTCTTGTTTAGGTTGAGGCAACAAAGTTGGCATTACACTTGGTGTACCTACTAAGGGCTGTTGTTTATATTGTTCAGGTAGCATAGATCGCTTTCCTAGGCAGTTACTAATTCGATTACTTTCTACGTTATTAGACAATTCAATGGTATCATTATGGTTAGTTGAATTTGTATTCGTAGATAAAAATTGTCCACATAAAGAATAAATAGTTGGAGATTTTCCTCCAGAAAGCGCTGAGAATTGTGACTGGCTAGAGTTGAGAATTCTAGTTATTCCGGCATTTGGAGATGAAGATTTGATTGTCTGACAAGATGAAATGAGCGATTCAGTCTGTAGGGTGGGTCCTTTCGGATTGAAATTCACAGGAATATTAGGACTACAATGACCAGAAGTTGGACTTCTAACAAGAGATTCAGAAGTAACAAATGAAACAGATGATAATGACGAGGATGAACTGGTTGTTGCTGCTTTGGTATGTGATTGGTTTGTAGAAAATGAAGATTCAGAAGTTATATTGGAAAAAGAAGTCGATACCAAGCATACTGGTGACGAGAAAGAACTTGAAGATCTAATTCGATTTGCTTTACTCATAGGTATATTTTGAGTCATTGTACAAGAAGGCCAATCTACACTTAAAGATGCTAATTTTGCATCGTGTAGTATAGCCAGTCTTGAATCGGCTAATTCAACTGTATGATCATATGGACTAGGTTGTAATTTATAAGAATGGGAAGAATCTGTTGAGTAAGTCCTTTGATCAGTTTTTGACCAAGGTGGACAACACATATGATCGTATTTGTTCATCGGTTCATTTCCAGGAGTTGAAGAACGCGAATTCAAACGATTTGTCAACTGATCCATTGATCTTGGTAAAGAAAGACTATTTTTCATACTAGGATGTCTTATATCAGACATTGTTCCTGTTGAAACGGATGGGATTGTCCTAGTATTGGTCAATGACAAATCATTAACTCTTCGTGAT